AAGTCAGTCTCCTGAATGATACAACGAGTGGAACAGTCATACACCATATGAAGGCAATATTTGCAAGGCATGGCATACCGCTCCAGCTCGTGACTGACAATGGACCACAGTTCTCGTCCACTGACTTTAGAAAGTTCACAGAGTCATGGGAGATTGAACATAAGACATCCAGTCCACTGTATCCAAGGTCTAATGGACTTGCAGAGAGAACAGTGCAGACTGTGAAACAAATCCTCACGAAAGCAAAAGACAGTGGCGAGGATCCCTATCTAAGCATCCTCAACTTCCGAACGACAGACAAATCAGATCAAGCCTCACCAGCTGAAATGCTCATGGGAAGAAAGCTGAGGACACTTCTTCCGTCTGCAAACAGGATCAAAAGGATCGTTAGCAGTCGAATGATCAAAGACAGGAAGGACAAACACGCAAAATACTACAACAGTAACACCAAAGACCTAGCGACTTTGAAACCCCAGGAGTTCATCAGGTACCGAGACAGTCGCAGCGGTACTTGGGAACCAGCTCAAGTAAAAAAGCAAGTAGATAACAGGTCTTACATCATCCGTACAAAGAGAGGTTTGCTTCGCAGAAACAGACAGCACCTCTTGCAGTCAGGAGAGCCTCATCATGACCTCCAACCAGACCAGTGCGAGGGTGGTTCATACAGAAGCAATGTCCACAATAATGTCCCCGCACCCATCATACGTGGTCAAGCTGGACCTCAAGCGTCCAGACCACTGGTCGAGTTCCCAAACTCACCACGAAATGATCATGAAGTGTACGAACACACTCCTGATCGTGGAGGCACCCCGCCTTCACCGGAACACTCCGACACACACAACGTTCCACATTATATCACTAGAAGTGGTCGCACAGTGAGGAAACCAAACAAATATACGTTGTAGGCAAAGTCATTAAAAATGTTATTCACTGTTGACCACAACACTCATGCAAAATACACTATGCATATTTTACACTAAAGTAAAAGCTCAGAGCTGACCAGTTTAATACTTGTGTTAAAACTAGCTCACCACTGGATACATTTATGTGTGTGATCAAGTCATGATGTCATCAAGGACTATCGTTCTCAAGGTTGATGTTCAACATCCGTTACAAAAGGCAAACGTAACTTTTAAAAGAGGGGGGATGTCATGTGTGTACATCAATAGCTTGGACTTAACTGACCAGCTATGTTATAACGGCTCAAGGCCGTAACGTGACCTTCTTGGTAATAAAGCACAACTTCCGTTACTACTCATTCTCACTGAGGTCTTGTGTTTGTTTGTGAGCACGTTTTATAATTATTCGTCAAGCTATAAGCATAGCCAAGAACGTAACACAACCTACAGCCTACGCAGTAAAGAAGGGACTTTTGAGTGGTCTATGTAAAAGATAGGGTTTAGTATTTGGTTGGGGAATAAAGAAAGTAAAGAAAGTAAACTGGTTTTGTGTCACTTTGTGTTCTGTTGCTTTCTTTTCTCTCTTCTCCTGGAATGTGTATTATTAGTGACATGGTAACATCTGAAAGCATACTCTTTAATATGACATGATTAGAAAAATCAGTGACGTGACCGTGATTCGAACCTGTGAGTGAGAGAAGCTCCTTTGAACTGGGCGTAAAAATTCGCAAAATGCCATAATTTTGTCATGAACAGATGGTATAACAGTGGCTTAAATTTCAGTCTTCCATCATGTTTTGGGAAGCAATTGAGTATAATCTAGATTTAATAGTGGTCGCTCGTAACGGAAGTCCACCCTTTTAGTATGATCATGTAGTTATTATCCCCCGAAGACTGTCCAGGTGTCACTATTATTATACGAGAGTGTCTACGTATGCAAGTGCGTGCATCAACCCATTTTTTGCAATGCACACACAGTTATGCATCAATACATTTTTTGCTATAAATGCACGCAATTGCGTCCACCAGTACATTTTTTTTTCTTCGCTATATGTGCGCAATTATACTTTGCTATGCACGCAATTCCGTTCGGTAATGCCAAAGATTCTCTACCTCCATTAAGCTCTTTGGGCTTTTGTCCACGCAGTTGCGGACCCACTTTTGCCCCTTAGCGCGTGATGGGCTACGTCACTAGGGTATGCGAGGTTGGTTTCATCGTCGACTTTTTGGGGTGTGTGTGTGTTTGCGTTTGCTTGTGCGTGTGCATGTGTGTGTGTTTGTGTGTATGTGTGTGTGTTTGTGTGCACAACTTTGTTTGGGGAGGAAAAGAGGAGCTAGTGCAGAATAGTACTGGTACTGGCTAGATTTATGGAACAAGAATTGCTTAGATTGTTTAAAGATAACA